TAAAAAAATATAATCAAATAAATTAGAAGATTGCAAAAAATTCACCTTTGGAGAAAATGGTGGATTTTTTGATTTATCAAACTTTCTTTTTTAAATGGAGTACACTTTAGAATCTCAGCAAGAAGTTTTGAACATTAGCTTTAGTAGAATTTTGGGTAGTGTATATCTGTGGAATATTGGTAAAAGGTAGGAGACTTATATCTCACTTTCTATTTTCTCTCAAATTTGACAAAACAAACTTTCTTTTTTTGAAGAGTAAATTTTGGAAAGCTAAAACTTTTTCATCTTTTGAAGAGAAAATTTTGAAAAGCCAACACCCTTTCTTTTTTTGAAAAGCCAATTTTGAAGAGCCAAAACGCATTCATTTTTTGAAGAGCCATGACCCATTTCTTTTTGAAGAGCCAAGACCCTTTTTTTTTTTTTTTTTTAAAGGGCAAAATGCCTTTTTCTAAAACTGCTAAATTTTTTAGACAAGAAAAATGTGGAAAAAGATTTTTGAATAGGTCTAAAATAATTTGGCTAAAATGGGTGTAATATTGGAATTAAAGCTTAAATCTGTCTTTTTTGCTGAGAAATTCATAAAATAGCATATTTCAATTTTCATCATCTGGTGATCAAAAGAAAGCGCCCAAGTCTTAAGATCGATCAAAATGGAGTGTCTACAATTTTATATATAATTATATAATAGGTAATAATTAATAGAAATTGTGGTGCACTTGCTGACAATCAAAAGTGGTGTACTGTAACTTATTATTATTATTATTTATTTTATAATAAATATATAGTAAAATGTATTATTTATACTAAAAAAAACACCCAAAATATGTACAAACAAATAAAATCATATAAAATTATAAAATACTACAAATTAATGAATTAATAAAATATACTTTAGCGGTCTAAAATAATTTGGTCAAAGTGAGTGAAGGTTGGGATTAAAACTTAAATCTGACTTTTTTGCTAAAAAATTCAAAAGATAACATTTTCCAATTTTCATCATCGAGTGTACAGAAGAAAGCGTTCAAGTCTTAAAGCCGGTCAAAATGAGGTTTCTACTCATAATCACTGCTTTCATTCCCTTTTTTTTCTTGCCAAACATCATATTTTCAGAGCTTTATTGTGTATAAATATGTGATTTAGATTGTGGAAGTGGAAGGCTGAACCTCTATTCCTTAGAATTCTTTTTCAGAATATGTAACATAAATATGTGATACAAATATGTGATTTAAGTTGTTAAAACTGATTGATTTAGTCAGCTGATGTAATTTCATTACTAATTATATTATATTATAATACATATTTTTAGTGTGATGGTGGGTGAAACCATTATGCACATATCTCTCAAATGTATGAATATATATATATATATATTATTTATTAATTATATTATATTTATCACAAAATGATAAAAGAAAATAAAATAAAAAGAAGCATACAAGTTGTCTGAGGTCCCTCCACCAAGTGGTTTACACCCTTCTATCACTACTCAACAGTGGTATCAGAGCTATCCAACTTCCAACAGTAGTATCAGAGCTAGTTCGAGGTAATTTCTGAAGAAACTGAGCACAGTTTTAAATTTGTCCAGATTTTGAAGGTGTCAAAATCAAGATTTGAATATAGCAGAGGGTTTGTGTCAACTAGAGGAGTGCAGACCCACCTACCAGAGGAGCTAAGAAGTAACCGAAGTTTGCTGATAACCGTGACATCCAGAAACTGAAAATTTTCGAAGTTGTTGAAATTCAATTTTGAGTATTCCAGATTGAAATACTCGTCGAGAGGATTATAACAACATAAAAATCAAGAGAGTAAATTTTGAAAAGCTAAAACTTTTTCATCTTTTGAAGAGAAAATTTTGAAAAGCAAACACCCTTTCTTTTTTTGAAAAGCCAATTTTGAAGAGCCAAAACCCATTCATTTTTTGAAGAGCCATGACCCATTTCTTTTTGAAGAGCCAAGACCCCCTTTTTTGCTAAATTTTTCGGACAAGAAAAAAAATGCACCAAAACCCCCTTTTTTTTTTTTTTTTTGAAGAGTCAAGATCCATTTCTTTTTTTTGAAGAGCCAATTTTTCTAAAACTGTTAAATTTTTCGGACAAGAAAAATGTAGAAAAAGATTTTTGAATAGGTCTAAAATAATTTGGCTAAAACGGGTGTAATGTTGGAATTAAAGCTTAAATCTGTCTTTTTTGCTGAGAAATTCATAAAATAGCATATTTCAATTTTCATCATCTGGTGATCAAAAGAAAGCGCCCAAGTCTTAAGATCGATCAAAATGGAGTGTCTACAATTTTATATATAATTATATAATAGGTAATAATTAATAGAAATTGTGGTGCACTTGCTGACAATCAAAAGTGGTGTACTGTAACTTATTATTATTATTATTTATTTTATAATAAATATATAGTAAAATGTATTATTTATACTAAAAAAAACACCCAAAATATGTACAAACAAATAAAATCATATAAAATTATAAAATACCACAAATTAATGAATTAATAAAATATACTTTAGCGGTCTAAAATAATTTGGTCAAAGTGAGTGAAGGTTGGGATTAAAACTTAAATCCAACTTTTTTGCTAAAAAATTCAAAAGATAACATTTTCCAATTTTCATCATCGAGTGTACAGAAGAAAGCGTTCAAGTCTTAAAGCCGGTCAAAATGAGGTTTCTACTCATAATCACTGCTTTCATTCCCTTTTTTTTCTTGCCAAACATCATATTTTCAGAGCTTTATTGTGTATAAATATGTGATTTAGATTGTGGAAGTGGAAGGCTGAACCTCTATTCCTTAGAATTCTTTTTCAGAATATGTAACATAAATATGTGATACAAATATGTGATTTAAGTTGTTAAAACTGATTGATTTAGTCAGCTGATGTAATTTCATTACTAATTATATTATATTATAATACATATTTTTAGTGTGATGGTGGGTGAAACCATTATGCACATATCTCTCAAATGTATGAATATATATATATATATATTATTTATTAATTATATTATATTTATCACAAAATGATAAAAGAAAATAAAATAAAAAGAAGCATACAAGTTGTCTGAGGTCCCTCCACCAAGTGGTTTACACCCTTCTATCACTACTCAACAGTGGTATCAGAGCTATCCAACTTCCAACAGTAGTATCAGAGCTAGTTCGAGGCAATTTCTGAAGAAACTGAGCACAGTTTTAAATTTGTCCAGATTTTGAAGGTGTCAAAATCAAGATTTGAATGTAGCAGAGGGTTTGTGTCAACTAGAGGAGTCCAGACCCACCTACCAGAGGAGCTAAGAAGTAACCGAAGTTTGCTGATAACCGTGACATCCAGAAACTGAAAATTTTCGAAGTTGTTGAAATTCAATTTTGAGTATTCCAGATTGAAATACTCGTCGAGAGGATTATAACAACATAAAAATCAAGCAAATTGGAGCTAAAACGATATTATACGGGCCACTAAAATATATTTTATTAGTTCATTTTTACATAATTTAATGTGCATGTACATATTTTGTGTGTTTTATATAAATTGTTAAAAATAATGTATTTTAGATATTTTATACTATTTTATAAAACAATAAAAAAATCTTTCGATGGAGAAATCCACTCACCCACTCAAATTAAAAAGAATAAAAGAAAGGAAACGAAAGAGAAATGAAAGAAGACGATAGAAGATGCCAGCCATTTATCTCATAATGCACCATAATGCATTTCTTTTTTTTAATATTATATATATAAATAAATATTTTATTATTTTCTTTTGCTTTTTAGATTCTATAAATGGAAGTGAAAGACTTTGGCAGGGAAGAGATGGAGGGGGACTAAGAGAGAAAGAAAAGAATGAGAAAAAAGAGGGGGGGGATTTTGTTTCAAAAAAAAAAAAAAACTTGGATAGAGGGAGACTAAGAGAGAAAGAAAAGAATGAGAAAAAAGAGGGGGGGATTTTGTTTAAAAAAAAAAAAATTTGAGGAAAAAGAATTGATTGTCAAAAATCAAAGTTTCAATAAACCTTTCTATCCACTTATATACCATCTAAAACTACATTAAAACTAAGGTGAAACTTCTTACTGAGATTTCAAAACATACTTCATAGCCCTGAGGGCAGGGTCGGCCCTGCCTTAAGGCAGGTAAGGCTTGTGCCTTAGGCCCCAAATTTTGGCTCAAAAATAGGACCTCCAAATTTAAAAAATTGTTATAGGTCCAATCTTTTTTTTTGTTTTTTTTTTGTTTTAAGATCAATTTAAAGGGCCCCAAATGTTTTATTAGGCCCATGTATAATTTAGCCCATATTTATTTATAAATGTGTTTTGCCCATATTTATTTATTAAAATGAAAATATATAAATAAAAAACAAAAAACAAAAACTGAAAATGTGTTTGGGCCCAACCCAAAGTTTATGTGGTGTAGGACTGAAAACAACTTTGGAGGCTTTAAAGGGCCCCAAAACTGAAAATGTATTTAAAGGGGCCCAAAATGCGTTTGGGCCCAACCCAACCCAAACCATACATACAAATATAATATACAATAGCATAGCAGTGATGAAACGAAGTGCTTCAGTTTTCATTCTCTGTTTAACAAAACGAAGTGAATCACTCTCCCTCTTGAAGACAGGCAGACGAAAGCATAGACTCACTCTCCCTCTTTCACACACTCCTCCTCCCGGCGATTCACTCTCTGTCACACACTCTCTCTCATGTAAGTCCTCTCTCTCACTATCAGATTTTATTAAATAAAGTTGCCCTAATTTTTTTTTCTTATATTCTTTCTCTACCAATTAGTGGAATAATAAATTTGCCATAATTTTTTTATTACCTTCTTTATCCATTAGATTTTAGTGGAATAAATAATTTAGCCCTAATTTTTTTACCTAGGTATTTATCAGTTTTAATTGAATAATTTGTTTGCCCTAATTTTGTTTCATTAAATTATTTTTTATAATTTATTTGCTATCAGATCAGTGGATTGTGATTTGTGGATTGAAGTGTTTGTGATTATAGCCATGTTTCCTAGGAAGTATAGTTCTGGAAATGAAAAGAGAAAGAAGAGGATGAAAGTAGAACAATTAATTCAATCTCAATCGGGAGCACTTGATAAATATTTTGGTACCAAGAAACAAGTAGATATTTTGGGTTCAAATGACAATGATGATGAAGATTTGGTAATTGAAGAGCCTACTCATTGTGTGAGTAATAATGAGAATGATGATTTGGTGATTGAACAACCTAGTGAACATATGAATGAGAATGAGAATGAAGATTTGGGGAATGTAGAATCTAATGAAAGTGAAGATGTGAATGTTGAATGTGGACCTCTAAACATTTATGACCCTAGTAATTGGGACAAGATTGATCAAAATTTAAGGGATTTACTAGTTGAAAGAGGTCCCATAAGAGGTAATGGTGTGAATTTTCCCCTAGATGACAAAGATAGGCATTTTTCTTCTACATTTTACATGCGACAGTTACAAAATGGAGAGAAGCAGGATAGAAAGTGGCTAGTATATTCAGATGCTTCAGACAAAGTGTTTTGCTTTTGTTGCAAGTTGTTTAAGCAAGATGGGAACAATATTCATTTGGCTACTGACCTAGTTATACTGGAGGTTGCTTTCCATCTTCGACATTGACATACAGTCGTAGGCCTAGGCGTAGGCATACAGCTGATTCGTGACATGCTGTTTGTTAGTTGGTGGATTTTTTTTGGTCTTTTTTGTAAGATGATATTGTTGTAATGGTAACAGTGGTTTCTATTGTGATCACTATTGCTAAAAATAATTTAGCTTTTCGTGGAGACAATGAGAAGATTTATCAAGAAAGAAATGGAATCTTTTTAAGCTTAATTGAAATGCTTGCTAAATTTGATCCAGTAATGCAAGAGCACATTCAACGTATTCAAAGGAGTGAAATTCATTACCATTATCTTGGCCACAAAATCCAAAATGAATTGATACAGATGTTAGCGAGTGAGATCAAGAGTACGATTGTGGCAAGAATCAAAGAAGCGAAATATTTTTCAATTATTCTTGATTGTCCTCCAGATGTTAGTCATGAAGAACAAATGTCTCTTGTGATAAGATGTGTAGATGTTTCAACTAGTCCGGTAAAGGTAGAAGAATTTTTTTTAGAATTTTTGAAAGTGGATGATACATCGAGGTTTGGACTTTTTAATGTACTTAGAGAGGCATTGCACACACTCCAGCTTGATATTGGTGATATAAGAGGGCAAGGATATGATAATGGCTCTAATATGAAAGGGAGACACAAAGGTGTACAAAAAAGAGTACTTGAAATAAATCCAAGAGCATTCTACACGCCATGTGGGGTGTCATAGTCTTAATCTTGCCCTTGTGATATGGCTACCTCTTGTTCCAAAGCTATCTATTTCTTTAGAGTGGTACAACGCATATATGTTGTTTTCATCTTCTACAAAGAGGTGGAAAATTTTCAAAGACAATGTGGAAGGTCTCACACTTAAGCCATTATCACAAACTCGTTGGGAAAGTCGCATTGAAAGTGTTGAAGCTATACGGTACCAAGCTCCACAAATTAGAGATGCTTTACTTCGGTTGGAAAAAGAAGCTGATGATCCCAATACAAAGTGTGAAGCTGAATCCTTAGTTACATCTGAAATTGAGAACTTTGAGTTTTTGCTTGGCATGATTATTTGGCACAATCTGTTGTTTGCTGTTAATTCTGTTAGCAAGACATTTCAAGCTGAAGACATGCATATTGATGTTGCTATACATCAATTAAAAGGACTCATTACATTTCTTGAGAAGTATAGAGAAACGGGATTTTTGGAGGCCATGATTGAAGCTAAAGAAGTTGCAATTGAAATGGAGATTGAGCCTACATTTCGTGAAAGGCGTGTCATTCGTAGAAAGAAACATTTTGATGAGAATGTTAGTGAAGCGGTTGCACAATCAGGTGAAGAATCCTTTAGAGTTAATTATTTCATATATATAATAGATCAAGCTCTTTCTTCACTTAAGAGTAGATTTGAACAATTTCAAATATATGATGAAACTTTTGGATTTTTGTTTGATTTGAAGAAGTTAAATTCTACCAATGATGAGTGCTTGAAGACTTATTGTGCTAATCATGAAGACTTTTTGAAACATGATGGGCTTATGGATATTGATGGGAGAGATTTATTTTCTGAGTTGAAAGTCTTCAAAGAAATTTTGCCAAAAGAAATCAATAGGCCAATTGAGGTGATGGATTATTTGAAATTGATGGATGGTTGTTTTCCAAATGCCTGGATTGCGTACAGAATAGTATTGACTATTCCAGTTACCGTTGCCTCTGGAGAAAGAAGTTTTTCAAAGTTAAAATTGATCAAATCCTACCTTCGATCAACAATGTCACAAGAAAGATTTGATGGATTAGCTATATTGTCTATTGCAAAGGATTTGGTAGATAAATTAGATTATACAAACTTAATTAGTGATTTTGCAGCTAAAAATGCAAGAAGAGTAGTATTTAAGTGATCGTTGGGTTAATTGTAAACTGGATATTGCTAAACTATAATAAAACAACAAAACCAATTTTTAATGTTTTTGAGTCATTGTATTGATTTCTTCCTATCTTAATATATGAAAGTAAATTTTAGTTTATAATTTTAATGATTATATGTTCAAGTATACTTAAATAAAAAATTTGTAGATACTTATCATTTTATGCATAAATTTTTTATTAAAAAAAAATATATTAGAGGGTCCTATTTTCATAGTTTGCCTTAAGCCTCACAAATCTCAGGACTGGCCCTACTCCCAAACTAGAAAGAGTAAAACGCTATTACGAATTACTGACCTTTAGACACCTATAACAAATATACCAATGAAGTTTAAGATATGGCACATAAATATTACACAACAAATAATAACAGTCCTAAAGGACATGGACATAAACTTAAATCTGAAACCTTGTAAGAATTGCAGTTGTCAAGGACTCCACACTTGTTATCCCATTAGGAATTGTAACCACAACATCTTGAAGAATCAGCTCCTTCACTTTGGAAACACTGGCATGAGTAACTCCAAAGTCAAGGCCTCTCAGTGTATCCATCAACCTTGCACAAGGGTAATTCACGTCCACACAGTGCACTTGAATCATCGCATCTGTTCCTAACATCTTCACCTCCACTTCCGCATCCGCTGCATTAGCAATCCCATAGCTAGACGAGGATGATGATGAAAACGCACTTGGGTTGTTGTTATACATGTCCGTCATACATACCTGTTGTGGGAATGAAACATGATGGGCTTATGGATATTGATGGGAGAGATTTATTTTCTGAGTTGAAAGTCTTCAAAGAAATTTTGCCAAAAGAAATCAATAGGCCAATTGAGATGATGAATTATTTGAAATTGATGGATGGTTGCTTTCCAAATGCCTGGATTGTGTACAGAATATTATTGACTATTCCAGTTACTATTGCCTCTGGAGAAAGAAGTTTTTGAAAGTTAAAATTGATCAAATCCTACCTTCGATCAATAATGTCACAAGAAAGATTTGATGGATTAGCTATATTGTCTATTGCAAAGGATTTGGTAGATAAATTAGATTATACAAACTTAATTAGTGATTTTGCAGCTAAAAATGCAAGAAGAGTAGTATTTAAGTGATCGTTGGGTTAATTGTAAGCTGGATATTGCTAAACTATAAAGCAACAAAACCAGTTTTTAATGTTTTAGAGTCCTTGTACTGATTTCTTCCTATCTTAATATATGAAAGCAAATTTTAGTTTATAATTTTAATGATTATACGTTCAAGTATACTTAAATAAAAAATTTGTGGATACTTATCATTTTATGCATAAATTTTTTATTAAAAAAAAATATATATTCGAGGGGCCCCATTTTCACAGTGCGCCTTAGGCCCCACAAATCTCAGGGCCGGCCCTGCCTGAGGGTGCTAGGAAGAGAGTTTGTTAATCAAAATAATTTTCTTTTAAGGGTGAATTTCTACAAAATATACTCATTGCTTTCATTCTCTTTTTCTCTTGCCAAATATTCTATTTTCAAAGCTTTATTGTGTTTAAATATGTGATATTTCAGATTATGTAACGTAAATATCATAAATATGTGATACAAATATATAATTGAGGTTGTTATAAATGGTTAACTAAGTGACATGATGTAATTTATTTACTAATTATATTGTAATATATATTTTTGGTGCGGTAGTGGGTAAATCACTACGCACATCTTTCTCAAATGTGTATATATATATTATTTATTAATTATATTATATTTATCATAAAATGAAGAAAAAAAGAAAAATAAAAACAAACATAAAAGTTAACTAAGGTCCTTCCACCAAGTGGTTTATACCCCTCTCCCACTGCTAAACAGTGGTATCAGAGCTATCCCACTTCCAACAGTGGTATCAGAGCCAGTTCAAGACAATATTTGAAGAAACAGAGCACAGTTTCAAATTTGTCCAAATTTCAAAGGTGTTGAAATCAAGATTTGAATATACTATAAACACCATATTTTGACCGATAAAATGAAGAAAAAAAGAAAAATAAAAACAAAAATAAAAGTTAACTAAGGTCCTTCCACCAAGTGGTTTATACCCCTCTCCCACTGCTCAACAGTGGTATCAGAGCTATCCCACTTCCAACAGTGGTATCAGAGCCAGTTCAAGACAATATTTGAAGAAACAGAGCACAGTTTCAAATTTGTCCAAATTTCAAAGGTGTTGAAATCAAGATTTGAATATACTATAAACACCATATTTTGACCGACCCTAAGACTTGGGCGCTTTCTTTTGATTACCTGAACACTTTCTTTTAATTACCGATAATGAAATTTAGAATGTGTTTCTTATAGAATCCTCAGTAATAGATATATTTTGAGCTTTTCTCACAACTTTAAGCCTATTTTGGTCAAGTATTTGAGCCCCATTGGACACCCATAGCGAAGTTAGACCAAATTGGAGCGAAGCTGGCCTGAGCGACCAAAACCGGGCCTTTCCACCTTTGTCGATCGGCCCGTCAACTGCCCAAAGGCAAATTGGCCCAGTTTTTGTGTTGGTTTGGGTGGACATTTCCCAAACCCATTTCTTGACCCATTCATGCATTGAGTGCATGTATACTCATCTTCCATTACCTAGTGCATGATCCATTGAGCCTAATGCTCCACTTTTGTCTTCCATTAGCTCCATTAACGGTCCATTTGCTCTATTATCTTCCTTAATACTCCATTAATCTTCCACTTTGTCTTCCATCATTTCTCCACTTACATGGCCTATATGAATACATCAGATTGTTAATGTAATGACCCAAATTTTTTCTTTTTAAATAGTCAGTGCATAATTTAATTGAGCAATATTCGGATTTGAGTACTATGTAAAATTATGTGTAAAAATAGTTTGATTTTTTTTTTTAAATATAGTTCCCGTTCACAAAAATTTTGAAAATTTTATATGTTGTTCCCATATAAGTCAAGCACGTTGGATAACATTTTCAGAATTTATTGATGAGCATTTATCTTATGAAAATTCACAGACTGATTGGTGTTCAGTTTGATTTAGAGCAGAAATTGAAAATGAGTTTTGTGTATTTGGACCATGACTTGAGATTAGTTTGTTGGGTCTACTTTGATATATAATTGGGTGATGTTTAGCTTATGGGTGGAAATTTAATTCAAGACCCATAACTTACATTCAATTTGATTTGGACTTGTTTATGACTCATGTTTAACTTTTTTGATCCTTTTTAATTGTGTGATTGGTAGTGACCACTTTGGGAGTTGTTATTTTTTTTTATATATAGGATTATAATAAATATTAGAATGTTGAATTTATGGTGTATACCATATGGTGAAAATTATATATTTTTGTAATGAATAAAAAATTGGTGTATATTTCGTAGTAAGCAAAAGATTATATTTTGTGGTGTACAAAAATATCATATTATGTGGTGAGAAAAATTATATCATTTTATAATTTGTATCATAAAATTTTGAAAATATTATTACCATATATTTTGTGTTGAATTGTGTGATGTTAGGTTGGGTGCCATAGGGAAACAAACCCACGTGGGGTTGTCCTCCACGCCATTCTCCCTTTTCTTATATCCTTTCACTTTGCTTTTTTTTTTTCTTGAGCAGAGAGCTCAGCTCTCCCTCTCTCTCTCTCTCTCTCTCTCTCTCTGTTCTCCATTGTTGTTCAATCTTTGAGCTTCAAATGAGAGACTTTTGAGTGAGATTTTGCAAAAAAATTTAAATGAAAGTCAAAGAGCTCGTCGTGATCTTCGTAATGGTAGTCTCAGATTCATAATCGGGCAAGGTTTCCCTTTTGGTTTTACTCCTGTTCATTATATGATGTAGGGACTTTCTTCATATTCTTACTTTAAAGCTATGTTAGGGATATTTTGGGAACATATATCATTATAGGAGGTATTGCATATATATATTTCTCAAATTTTTGTTTGGTTAATTTTTGGAAGACAAATTATGTTGAAATGTTAAGAATATTGTCATTTTGAGATTGAATTGGGAAAATCATCTTGTGTTGATAATTTTGTTAAAAATCTAAAAATAAAATATATAATTGTATGGGTTATATCTACATCATATTATGATTAGATAATTTATTTTGAGAAATATAAAGTCGAAACATTTTTCATCTTTGATTTTGGAATTTATTTTTGAGAAAAATAAATTAATGTTGATGAATATTGTGTAAATTGTTAAGTAGGAATTATATAGTGGTTTTGGGATTAAAAACTCTAAAAGTGTTGTATTCACGATATTTTATGAATGGTGATATATATACACATTGATGATTAGGTTTTGTTTATTTTTCTGAAAATGAAACGATGAAATGTGGACTTTCGAACTCCTAATCTCAAAAAGTTTACTCTTGGACAATTTCATGATTTTTGATGTAAATATCATGTGATTAATTAATTTTAGAAAAGTTGTGAAAATTATTATTTGTAGAGAGTTGGGAAAGATTGGCTATTTGAGTAGCTTGGCATGGAATATGGTTATGTTTGAAAGATGAGGCATGCTATGTTTGGTATTGTTTCTTTTGTGAAACATGAATATAATAAAGTTACTAATTTAGTGGATTAAATTAGTTTGGTTAAAAGTTTATATCCATTATGGTTAAAAGTGTGTTATTGAGATTATACCATAACTTTTAATATAATAGGATGAAAATGGTAATATTCAATAAGTATGAGATATTGGTGAAAATTATTTTGGTTATCTTAGTTTAGGTGGAACAAAGTTGATTGTAAGTTTTGTGTGAGTCAAAAAATAAATAAATAAAATAAAAAAAGGGAAATTGATTATTGGTTTTAATAGTTCAAGTATGCTAATATGCTTTTTTTAAACATCAAACTCATATATGAGATATTTGAATGGTAAATTGAGGGTTTGGTTAAATTGGGAGTTGATTACTTATGATCTTACTCTTTAATGTATTTTTTGTATATAAAATTGCATGTAAGTATTTGAAAATGAGAAAGTTCCAA